CCGGCGGTTGGTCGGTTTCGGCACCGGCTGAATCGGGAACAGCTGGGGTGCTGCCGGGTTGGGTCCCGCAGCCCCGAGAGGCAGCGCTACGGGACCAACCTCGCAGCACCCCAGCTGCTCTGCCCCCGGCTTTCCCAATTCAGCTGCTGATCAGTTTTAGCAAGCGGCTGAATCAGGGAAGCTGAGGGCAGAGCAGCTCCAATGGTCCGGCTGCCCAGAGCACTTCCGGGTTCCTGATGGTGCCGAACCATCAGGAGTGCCAGACCATCAGATGCCGGACCATTGGAGTTTTACTGTATATGGATACCATGACCACCCTAGGTCTATCCCAAAAGATAACTGACCTAACGTATGTTGCAGGTCATATGCTCGATCTGGTTTTTTGGATTAAGGGTGATAAGAGTTCTCGGCTGCCCAGAGCACTTCCGGGTTCCTGATGGTGCCGAACCATCAGGAGTGCCAGACCATCAGATGCCGGACCATTGGAGTTTTACTGTATATGGATACCATGACCACCCTAGGTCTATCCCAAAAGATAACTGACCTAACGTATGTTGCAGGTCATATGCTCGATCTGGTTTTTTGGATTAAGGGTGATAAGAGTTCTTGGGATAAGGGATGTAGCTACACTCCCTTTGTCATGGACTGATCCCTACGTGGTTAAGTTTAGACTATGTGCTGACCTTCCCCTCCACAGAGGTGGGGAACCGATTAAGATGATCCGCCCTCAGAGGATGATGGATCTGGAGGGTTTCCTGAGGTCCCTGAGGGATTGTTCAGCCGTTATGGCAAATGGTGCTGTAGATGCCCTAGTCATTACATGGAACATCGAGGTAGCCTGGGAAGTTGATATGATTGTTCCTAAGTGCCCTTTTCGGGCTAGTCAAGCCAAGTTTGCTTCCTGGTTTTCTGGGGAGCTGATGGCGGCAAAACAGTCTGTGCGACGGCTAGAACGCCGCTGGAAGAGAACCAGAGCTGAGTCTGATCGATTGCGGGTTAGAGCTGAATTGCGAGTTTACTCTGTGGTGGTGCTGACAGCAAAGAAAAGCTACTTCTCCACCCGTATCGCATCCGCACAATGCCATCCAGCAGAACTGTTTTGAGTAGTGCGGGGCCTGTTGCAGTTTAGCACTCATAACGAAATGGAGGAGCTCTTAGTCCCCCTGCTGTGATCTGTTTGCGAAGAACTTTGCAGATACCATCACTCGCATCCAGTTGGATAGGACTCTGGTTGCAATGTAAGTGGCACAGAATGTGTTGAGTGCACCACCCAGTCATTTTTCTCTGGATCAATTTCAGCTATTGCAGACTGAGGATGTGGACAAGGCACTTGGAGGAGTGCGACCGACCATGTGCTCAGTTGACCCCTACCCTTCATGGCTTATTAAATCTAGCCGGGAAGGGTTTACTGATTGGGTCCAGGGGATTATTAATGCATCTTTTAGATCCGGTATGGTTCCCGCCGCCTTGAAAGAGGCAGTGATAAAACCATTACTCAAGAAGACTTCACTGGACCCACATTTTTTTGAATAACTGTCGCCCAATTGCTAATACTCCCTTCTTGGGCAAGGTACTTGAGCGGGCAGTGGCGTTGCAACTCCAAGCTTTCTTGGAAGAAACAGATTACTTAGACCCATTTCAGTCTGGCTTTAGTTTGGGTTTTGGAACTGAAACCGCCTTGGTCGCCCTGGTAGACGACTTACGCCAGGGGAGAGACAGGGAGAGTGCATCCCTGTTAATTCTCTTAGACCGCTCAGTGGCTTTTGATACCATCGACCATGATATCCTTCTGGGACGCCTGGAGGAGCTGGATATTGGAGGCACTGTTTTGCAGTGGTTCTGGTCCTACCTGTTGGGACGCTTTCAGAAGGTGGAGCTAGGGGGCTGCTATTCGACCCCGTGGTGATTGTTCTATGGGGTCCCGCAAGGCTCCATCTTGTCCTCTATGCTGTTTAATATCTATATGAAGCCGCTGGGAGAGGCCATAAGGAGTTTTGGAGGACAGTGCCATCAATATGCAGATAACACGCAACTCTATTTCCTTCTGACGTAAGAGGTCTGGAGGTGGTGATGGTTTGGATGAAGTCAAACAAGCTGAAGTTTAATTCAGATAAGACTGAGGTCGTGTGGATCAGGATGTCATCTGTTCAGGAATGTGGCATGGCACCTGTTCTAGATGGGGTTACTCTCCCCCTGAAAGAACAGGAATGCAGCTTGGGGGGGAGTCCTGGATCCTTTTTTAACATTTGAAAATCAGATTCATTTGGTGGCCAGGAGTGCTTTTGGGCAGCTTTGTTTGATCCACCAGCTGCGACCCTTCCTGAACAAGCATGACTTGGCCACAGCGCCCCATGCTCTTGTTACATCTAGACTGGATTACTGTAATGCACTTTATGTGGGGCTGCCTCTAAAGAGTATTCGGAAACTTCAGCTGGTCCAGAATGCGGCTGCTTGAGTCTTAACTAATACTCGTTATACAGAGCACATTATGCCAGTGCTTCGGCAGCTGCACTGGCTTCTGGTATGTTTCTGAGCAAAATTTAAGGTTTTAGTTATGACCTATAAAGCCTTAAATGTGTTGGATCCGGGGTATCTGAAGGCCCATCTTCTCCCATATGAACCTGCCCGGGGATTGAGGTCAGCTGGGGAGGCTTTGTGTCGTCTCAGGGTATCTGAAGGATTGTCTTCTCCTATATGAACCTGCCCGGGGATTGAGGTCAGCTGGGGAGGCTTTGCGAACCTGCCCGGGGATTGAGGTCAGCTGGGGAGGTTTTGCTTCGTGTTCCCCCACTTGTGGAGATAAGATTAACATCTACGTGGAACCGGGCCTTCTCAGCTTTTGCTCCCAGGCTGTGGAATTCTCTTCCTCGGGATATTCACATGATGCCAATGCTAGCATTGTTTCAGAGTCAGGCTAAAGCCACCCTTTTTACTCATGCTTTTATTAATGTTTGAGTCTGTATGTGTGTGTTCTCTATATGTTTTTAGCAGGTTTTATGTCCCTCTGGGGTCTTGTATTTTAAATTTGTATATATATTTGTATTGTCTTTAAGCATTTTTTTTTTGTAAGCCGCCTCAAATATTTTAAATAGAGAGGTGGGGTAAAAATATTTAAATAAATAAATAATATCTTGGTAAGGTGGTTTGTCAGAGCTCGGGACTGACTGCAGTATGACCTGTGAGTTATTGATTTGTTTGCTAAATAATTTTTCCAAGAGAGATGTCCTGCCACATAATTAGAGATGTTCAGTGCTCTTGCTGTGGGACTGCTATTTCTAGGCCATGAGTACTCTTTCTGCGCTTTTGGTAATTACAGTATTACTTATTGCTACCTATTGGGGTTGCCATCACATCTGATGCAAATTACAGGCCCTGCCATTGCAGCTGGCCTCTGGGAGAGGAGGGTGTAAAGGAGTGGAAGGTGGTCCTGGTTCTGAGTTTTAAACTAGTATGAGCACAATCTCACTCTTTAGTTTTAGGCAATCAGGAAAATAGCCCATTTGTACTCCTGGATGTCTTTGGGAAGAAAGGAGAGTGCAAACAAGCCAACTTTGAAAAATGCAAAAATCCCAAATCCAGTGAATTGTGTTCTGTATTTCAGATTAAAGGCTAAGCCTTGAAAACATGACTCTTGTGGCTATTCATGCAGTCCTGAGTACTCTGTATTTATGCTGCCACAGAAAGAACTGGTTACACTCAGAGGAGAAACACCTCAGCTACTGGGAAGCGTGTACTAAAGACTGAAATGAATTTGCAGCTAAAGGATCCACATCATGAATAGATACACTACTATCAAGCAGCTTGGTGATGGGACGTATGGCTCTGTCCTCCTAGGGAGAAGCATTGAATCTGGAGAGCTAATTGCCATTAAAAAGTGAGTCACTTTATTCCTTGATGTAATAGTCTTATGCTGGTACACAGTCAACTAATATACATCATACATTCAGTGTGTATATAATTGGTTTTGCAACAAAGTCTGAGAATATACACCTCTGCATCTTAATTCTCAGCCCCTTTATATGAAACGTGAAATGAACGGTCTAATCACTCCAGGACAATTATAATATTGAGGTGACCCAATCAGTACTCTCTTTTTGTCTGTTACATATGTCCCATTGTAATACACAGTCCTTGCATTTCACCAAAATTGTTTGGCACCTATTTAATTTCTAGCCATTCACATAGCGAGTTTTTTAAATGGCCCACCTCTCTAAGACTGATCTACAGTTAAAATGTAAATTGACATACCCATGAGCAATGTAGCTATGTAAAATCCACATGCTTGAGGTGCGATAGGTATGCCAAACTAATGCTACATTGCTCATGGGTATGTAAAATCCACATCCTTGAGGTGCGATAGGTATGCCAAACTAATCCCTCCCCTCCCCCTGGCATTAATGCAGGTAGGTTGACAGAAGAATAATCCCTTTAATCTAGCTGTCCTTGCTCCAGGAGACGGATTACCTAGAATAATGGGAAAACCCCTTTTGTTGCCATAGGAAGCATCTAAACCAGTGTTTTACAACCAGTGGTACGAGTACCCTTAGGGGTACTTGATAAAAGTCTGGGGGGGTACATCAACACAACTGAAATTTGGAGAAAACTGATTTTTTTTTAAAATTTTACAGCGTTTTATTATTTTTGTACTTTTTACGCCCAAAAATTTCATCACTCGCCTGGCTACAATTAAGTTGTTTAAACAAATGTGTTGCAATAGTAGAAAAAAATTTGCATGTCTGAAAACTGTAGGTACTGGGGTACTTTTTTTTTGTGTGAAAAAGGGATACTTTATTTTAAAAAAAAAAGTTGAGAAACACTGATCTAAACTATAGAACTACAGTGGCATAGGTATGCCACTAGTTCAGACATGGCTTAATTGATAGGCACAGAGTACTGGAGGAACCTCCACAAAATATTGTTTGTCATTCAGTAATGCACTTAGGAGAACAGTGTAGAACACTGTAACAGGTTTTCACAACTGGACCTGACTTCAGTTGGTTCTGCAAATGCTCAGCAGCTGGACACACAAAGGTAGTTGGTAGGGTTGTAATTAGCAGGTATTTTTCCTACTTCCCACCCCGTCCTTCTCTACAACAAAAGAGGCAAATTTGTGGGTCACACTAGTGTCAGGGGACAGAACAGGTCAGCTGGGCTATTCTCAAGGCCATTGCAAGGACTGTGAGCAAAGATTCATTGTGAGCAAAGATTCATGCTATCAGAAGGCAGAGCTACTAGTGTGAATCTGCCATGAGAAAAGATGCAGGCAAAAAGTTCACTTAGGCTACGTCTACACTGGCCACAATTTCCAGAAAAGCCATGCAAATCAGGTAAGTCAGGATAGGGAAATCCGCGGGGTGATTTAAATATCCCCCGCAGATTTAAATAAACATGTCTGCTGCTTTTTTTCCGGCTTGGGGAAAAGCCGGAAAAAAAGCGTCTAGACTGGCGCGATCCTCTGGAATAAAGCCCTTTTCCGGAGGATCTCTTATTCCTACCTCTTATTCCTGAGGTAGGAATAAAAGAGATCCTCCGGAAAAGGGCTTTATTCCGGAGGATTGCGCCAGTCTAGACGCTTTTTTTCCGTAGCCTAAGTGACTCAATCAGCTATTTGAAGGTATGTCTACGCTGTTTTCTAATTAGATTATATTAGCTGTCTTGAGTGAGTTGGTGTTTTAGACAGGCCCAAATTTTGGGGGGGTATCTACTCTAGCCTTAACTAATGTTTTGTGTATCAGTGCTATGGGGACTGTAATGGTGTAACTATGTTGGTGTAATCTTTTAATGTAGACTCAGCCTACTAGGGATGTTAGCAAGTAATCAACTGGAGTATCGACTACTCACTTGCCCCTCCCCTTTGCTGCCTCTGAGAGACAGCAAGGGCAGGGAACAGTAATGGTGTAACTATGTTGGTGTAATCTTTTAATGTAGACTCAGCCTACTAGGGATGTTAGCAAGTAATCAACTGGAGTATCGACTACTCACTTGCCCCTCCCCTTTGCTGCCTCTGAGAGA